AAGGGGGGGCGGGCAGTGTGTGCATGCATACATGTACATATTAGCATGTGTGCACATTAGCTTGTGTTACTGCATAGGTGTGTATATGTATAGGTGCATGCATGTATACATATATATAGGTGTGCAGAGGTGTATGTACACCTGTGTAGGTGTGTGTCCGCATGCACATGTGCACATACACATGTGTATGTTGCTGCCACCTCCATGCCTGGGCAGGACCCCCACAAGCAGCCCTAGGTGTTCAGGGCCGACTTATTGGGGGGGGTGGGAGGAGAATCTGGTTTTCTATGGAAAGCCCAGACCATGGCCTTTGACCTCTGACCTTTGCTGGGGCCAGGACAGGCTGAATCAAGGATGCTGTCATGTCCCATCGATCGCTGGCCACACTTCAAGAGGCATCAGGGGAGGGGAGCACAGCTTTCCTCCCCCCGCCCTCAATGGAGGTGACAGGCCCTGGGCCTGCAAGCCTGGGCAGTGGCAGAGGCAGCAAGGCCCAGCCCCTACAGGGGTGCGAGGGGCTCAGGCCTGCAGGCGGTGGTGATGGAGCCCATGCCACCCTCACCCTGCAGCAAAAGCCTTGTGTGCAGCTTGGTGCCTGGGGCCAAGGTCCCCCCCCCCGGGCCAGGAGTCAGCACTGGTGGGGTCAACCCCCCTCGCTGGAGGCCACAGACGACATGGGGCAGGTCCACGGCAACGGGCTCTGTATTTACAGGGACACTCACAAAAACAGGGCATATAAAAACACCAGCGAACACTGCGGGGAAGAGCACAGCCACCAGCTCCAGGGTGCAGCGGGCACTATCTGGCTGTGCCCTGGCTCCTGCTGGAGGGCTCCCCCATCCTGTGGGCAGGCCAGGCTGGGCCTGGCGCGGATCCTGCTGTCTCTGGCTCACAGCTTCAGCCCCTGGCCGGGGCCCAGGCTCTGGGCAGCAGCAGGCGAGGCAGAGTGGGTGCGAGGTTCATGGCTTCTTCACCTTCTTCACTGAGGAGGAGCTAGAGGCCGATTCCCGCCGCTTGCGCTGTCGGGGGAGACCGGAAGTGAGAGACAGGGTGAGCAGGACGTGCAGGGAGCCCAGCAGAAAAGCGGCAGGGCTGGGGGTGGGTGCAGGGGGACAAGGCAGCCTGTTGCAGGGGGGATCTCTGCTGGCATTCGGAGTGCTTGGAGACCCGAGAGACTCAGGCACAGGCCCGGCCCCAGCACGCTGTCCTGGGCACAGCGGGGCAGGAGTGAGGCCCTGGGCGTGGCAGATGGCCGTCTCCTGCCCCACGCTCCCAGCAGCCTCCTTCCCGGAGGAGCAGGTGCCTGGAGGGGTGGGAGACCAAAGGGGACCAGGTGAGGAGCAGGAAGGCACCTGGGAGAGGTTGGGCCCCAGCGCACGAGGGACAGGCACGGCCTCCCCTAGCTAAGGGCAGGCCCAGCCCTGCCTTCACAGGCACCGTTCCCCCAAGGCTCCCCGCAGCCTGGGTCCAAGCCAGGGGAAAGTCACAGGAAAAACCAAACCCGGCCGGAAACAAAGGAGCTGGCGGCTTCCCAGGGGGAGCCTGACAACTCGGCCAGGGCACGAGCCTGGGTGCTCCCCGCGGCAGCTCACGAAAGGGGCCAGGCTGCGGTTCTCCTGGAAGGGAGCGACCAGGGGAGGCCGTGCGTACGCACCGTGCGTTATGTCGATCGAGCCGGAGATTGCAACTCCGCCAGGAAAGAAAGGCTGTTTGATCTTAACAATGTAACTCTGGGCTTTCAAGCAGGCTCAGAAACGAGCCGTCAGCAGGAGTTCGGATCAAGGAGGCTTGAAAGCGGGCTCACGGCGACTCTGAACCCGAGACTTCTGAGAGGCAAGGGCCTTTCCTTTACCCATTAGCTGGCCGACTCGCCGGCCCGGGAACAAAGCACCGTGCCGGCGACTCACTCATTACGAGCCGTGCGGAGTCCGAGTCGCGCCCATCAAAGGCTCTAATCTGGAGGAACTGGCTGCACTTCTGCTTGGCACTAATTTGCTCCGCGCGCCGCTCACCTCTCACCTCCCCGCGGCCGGGCCCCGGCGGGCCAGCACTCTCGGCCCCGACCAGCCTGGGGGCTTGGGGAGCACAGGACTGACATGGCACCAGGTGTCCCCAGGTGGGCGGCTCTCTGTGCCCCAGCCCAGGGCAGCAACACTCCTCGATGCAGGAGCGGCTGGTGAATTAAATCAGGCTGAACCTGGAGCTCCCAGGGCGGAAACAGGCACAGCCTGGCCGGGCCCCACCGGCCGGGAACCCGGATGGGGATCAAGAACAGAGCACAGCTGAGCCTGGGTGACCCCCACAGCAGGAGGGGTCGGGCCCCCAGAGACATCCGTACCAGGGACACGTGCTCTCCCAGCACTAGCAGCAGATCTGTGCCCGCTGGCCTGGCACAAGGCTCCGTGTCCCCAGCCCTCTGCCAGCCCCAGATGTGAGCGCCCAGCTCCATTGAGCTTGGGACAGGCCATGGCTTAGACTTCCAGATGGGCGGGGGTCTGCCAGCCTGGGCTGGGGGCTGGGAACTGTGCCCCCCGTGAAGCGAAGCCCCCCAGCATCCTCTCAGCCGCAGGAGCCCCAGCGCCGCATGGGCCCTGCTCCCCGAGCGCAGCCGGGGCCAGCCAGAGACACCCCTGCAGCCGGGACGCAGCCCCCTCCCCCCACCCAAGGTAGCATAAAATGGTCACAGTGTGAATGCGCTTGACCTTTTGTCTTGGACTAATCTAATTGTGTCGTCTTTGTGTAATCAGCCGGTAAAGGTCAGCGCTGTATTTAACAGGGGCCTGTAGGTACCGAATTTGCCTTGCAGTGAATTCACTTGATTATATTTCTTTCAAATATGTCAGAGACCAGGTCACTTTAACCCCTGCCACGCCGCTGGCCTCCCCTCTTTGTCTGCAGTCCCAGGAGGCGGCGCTGGGAGCACGGGGCTGGAGACCTCGCCCCCCTGCCCGGCCACCCCAGTGCACACGCATGTATGGTCACGAGCGAGCAAGCTGCACGCTGCCACTGCCCGCCTACATTGTGGCAGGGGAGGTGTCTCCATGTCCTGTCATGTGCTGCACATACAGGGGCCAAGGCACCGTACAACAGGGATGGCAGTGCCCTGAGCAAGCCACGGTGCCGCCTGGCTGAGCCCTCAGGGCACCCTGGATAGGGCAGAACAGGGTGGGGTAGGGCTGGTGGACCCCAAGGACCCCCTGCACCTGGTGCCTCCCAGTCATGCCCCTAATGATGCGGTTGCCCCAGCCATCGCCCACCTCTCCCTGGTCACCGTCCCCTTGCAGACCTGCCCCCCTGGGAGCTCCGGCCCCTGGCACCCCCCTGAAGCCAGGCCAAGTCCCGCCCCCAGTCCCTGCTCACCGAGTTGGGGGTCAAGGGTGCTCCCACCACGTCAATGATCTGGTCCTTGGTGTCAGCTTTGCCCTCCTCAGCACCCGGGGCGGCCGGGCCATCGGCATGGGCGCCCTCCACGCTGCCAGGACCCAGGCTGCCGGCTTTGGCCAGCGCTTCGTAGCGGTGCCGCAGCATCTGCAGCTCATACTCGCAGTTGGCGAAGGCCTGCTTCAGCTCGTACAGGAGCACCAGGTCACTGCGCAGCTCGTTGAACATCTGCACGATCTCCTCTGTCGGCATCGGGTTCAGGTCTGGAGGGCGAGGGAGAGGAGGGCAGTGAGCTAGGGCTGCCCGGGCTGTCCTGGCACAGCCTGCAAGGCGGTGAAGTTGGAGGGATGAGGGGGCCCTGCATTACCTGGCTCTGGGCTGCCCCCCAAGCCCCACCCGTGCCCCGTTTCCCATCATGGGGCTCCACAGAGGTCCGTCACAAGGACAGGAGCAGCATCTGCTGCCTGCCATGCTGAGCCAGAGGTGCCTCCTGCCTGCACTGAGTCTGGGGGCCCCTCGCTGGTGCCACCGGGGGCACGTGGCTTGGCAGCCCCGGAGCTTGGGGCACGACCACTCATTTCCCACGTCTGCGAGAGGGAGGGGAGCAGGCCTGGGCGAGGCTTGAACTCGCCACTCAGGGCACAAAGACGGCTGGAGGGTGTGCCAGGCACCCAAAACAACGTGTGCGCGGGGTCCCCCAGAGGCCGACCCAGCTCAGGCTGCCCTGGATGCCGGACTGTCTCACCCAAAGGCTGGAGAGGCCTGAAGAGGAGAGAAACAAAGGCTCTTTCACAGCATTTTTCTACCGGGAGGAAAAGAAAAGCCTCAGTGCATCGTGTTCCGGCTTCTACCCTCTTTTTTTTTTTTTAAGCACATGAAATATTTGAAAAACCATTCACATACTGTTATTCAAGAACCTGGCTGCTTTACTCGGGGAAAAAATAGCCTGTCTCAACTACAAAGGCCCGCTCTGTGTGTCTGTGTCTCTAGCGTGCCCCCTTTACTTACCTACTCCTAGTTCCATCAGCATCTGCTCTAGGGCTTTAATCTTCTTCTGTCCCACCGAGCTTGGCAGTTTCATCTGGAACACAAAGGTAACCGAGCCACACAGCTCAGAGTTAGCCCTCACTCGCAGCCGCCTAGTTCAAAAGGCAAGACAGCTTTGCTTTTTATAGTGCAGGGGAACAAAAACCCAGAAAGAAAGAAAAAGAAAGGAAAGAAAGAAAGAAAGAGAGAGGGAGAGAAAAGCCAGCCCAGTGCTCAGAGAGGGAGATGGGGGCCTGAAAGTTTCCAGGCTTAGTCTGAGGGCAGGCACTGAAAAGCCTGGGCGCGGGGGCCTGAGTGCCCGTGCGCACGCGTGGGCAAGAGGCTGCTCTGCCACTTCCGCATGCCACCGAATTAGCGCAGCGGCTGCCCGCTCCCACCGAGCCCAACCCATCAAAGGCTCCTGTGCTGCGCTGCCCTACTTTGCCGGCCTGATTAGACTCTGGCGCTAACGGACTACCTCCTCCGCGGCCCCGCTGGGCCTCCGAGCTGTGGGGGCAGCTGCGGCACAAAAGGTGAGAGTGCGGAGGCTCGACTGGCATGCGAACGCAGGCCTGGCCGTGCAAGGAGGCTGCGGATGGGAGCTACGAAGGGGCCTAGAGCTGGGCCAGGGAAGAAGGACACGCCCATGAAGCAGGGCCGTTCTGCAAGTCCACCATGCTCGCAGCTCACCGCGGCATGCCGTCACCCCAGGGTGCTCCAGACCTCGCAGGGTACCATGCTCAGTGCCAGGAGACTGAAGCCAGACTGACCATCCTTGCCTGCAGCCCAGTGGAGGGGACTGAGCCACCCTGGGAGGGGCCAGCTGCAGCAGGAGATGGCAGAACAGCCACAAGCAGGTAGCAACTTCCACCCATGCCCAACCGGAGCTGGCACCGAGGCAGCACCCTCGCAGCACAGTACACCCCACGGGGCCTGAGTGCAAAGCCAGAAGCAGTGGGTCAGGCTGGAAGCGCAGAACCCCAAGGCGGTGACAGGCCCAACCCCTGCACGGACGCAGGATGCTGCCCTAAGATGATCCAGCCTCCCGTGATGGAGATGCCCCCTGCCTCAGGCATGCCGTAGCTCTCCCAGCACAGAGGGTCTTCCCAAGACCCACAACAATGCCCAGGGCTCAGTGTAAAGGAGCAAAGTGAACCCAACAACCGTGCCCAACCTCACCTGGGTCAGTGGCTTCTCCTGGCACCAGCCCTTCCCCATGGAGAGTGCCAGGAGCAGCTGGATTTAACCCTGGGGCAGCGGGGGCAAGCCAAGACCTCGTGAAATGAGCTAGTGGTGCCCTCCAGGGGCGACTGCCGCGCTTCAGGGAGGAGGGACAGATCTGGTGCAGCAAAGTGGGGAGCAACAGGGCCGGGTTCTGCTTCAGCGGAGGCTGCCAGCCCCCACGGGGGCAAGTCACCCAGGGCATGCACCTGAGAGTGGCCGGCACGTGAGTGCAGAGCAAGATGGCAACATCTCAGGGCTGGATGCCCAGTAGTGGCACCAGTGATCATGCACCACCCCGAACCATGCGCTCATGGACACTGGCCATCAAGAGGGAGGGCTCAGAGATGAGCCTCACCCACCCAGGCAGGACCAAGAGGCTGAGAGGGTTTAATGGAGCCACAGGCATCTACGGTCAACAGCCAGTGGGGAATGGGAGCCCAGCCCCATCCCCATCCCAGACTGCAGCATCACTCAGCGCTGCTAAGGACGGGCAAAGAAAAAAAAAGGAGAAAACCCCCCCTGATGCATGCAGCAGCAGTAGGGGAAAAAAATTCCCTCCCAACCCCACATGGCAACAGCATGGTCCAGCAGCCGGGGAAATCCCTGTAGCGGCATCGCTGTGCCTAGATCATGCCTGTGCAGTGCCTGTCCAGCCTCTCCCTGACACCTCCAGTGCTGCAGCATCTCTCCCACAGCCTCCCTGCTCTGACAGTGAGGACGTGTTTCCTGAGATACGATCTTTCTGCCGCTTCAAACCAGAGACCCCACCTCAGTGCCCGGCTGTGCCCAGTGAGAGACTGCTGTGCTGCAAGCCCCCGGGCACCCTTGCAGCTGTGCTCCCAGGCAGCTCAGAGAGCAGGACGAGAACCCGAGTGCTATCATGCTTGCTGTCGCGGCATCAACCCCTCTGCAGGAGCACGAGACGCCCTCCCCGCCTGCCCTGGCCTTGCCCGGTCGCTGCAGGAGGCCCAGTCTTTTCTAGGGGAGGCTCCATGCTGCATTGGCAGGGCTGCCAAAACCACTGACTGCTGCCACCAAGGCTGCTGCCTCCTGCTACTTCTGGCCTGAAGAACCGTGGGACACCCACCACCACCTCCCTGCCGGGGAGAGGCAGAGGATGGGGAGGGAGGAGGGGGTCATCGGGGCGCATTAAAGTTAGAAACGCATCCATTAAACCTCCTTTTCATTTGGGGGGGTGGTCGGGCCGGGGCCCAGGAAGGCTCCACGGCTTCGTGGTGCCAGAGTATATTTTAATTTTACCATCATTAAGAAAATGTTATGATTTATGTGGCTGCTGTCGGGCTAATATCTTTAAAATTTAGCTGGCTAAGCCAATTCATCTTTAAGACCGATGAAGGTTGATTGCTCTCTATGCAAAATGTATTAAAACTAAATGAGGAGTCTATTACTCACATGCTGCTGATCATCTGTTAGGTAGGCTCCGTTAGCTAGGCCGGCTCGTTGAAGGGGAAGCCTTGGTGCCCCGTGCTGCTTGGCAAGAAGGTGCCAGCATGGGCTGGTCCCAGCCAGTCTGGAAACGGCCCTGCCTCTCCCAGACACCAGCTGGCTCGAGTGCCGCACGTCCCCGCAGCTTGAAAGGCTGAAGACACCAAACCCCACTAAAAGGCCAGGCTGGCCAGAGCCTGGAGCTGGGGGGTGGGGCTCAGTCACTGAGCAAGACATCTCCCAAAATGGTGGGAGCTGCCTCATGGAGGACAGAACAAGGAGCAATGGGCTCAGGTTGCAGCAAGGGCAGTTGAGGCTGGATATAAGGAAAAACTCTCTCATGAGGAGGAGGGTGATGAAGCACTGGAAGAGGGTACCCAGAGAGGTGCTGGAGTCTCCTTCCTTGGAAGTGTTTAAGACCCGACTGAACAAAGCCTTGGCTGGGATGATGTAGCTGGGGCTGGTCCTGCTTTGAGCAGGAGGTTGGACTAGATGCGACTCCTGAGCTCCCTTCCCACACTCACCATCTATGATTCTGATTCTAACGGGGAGTCATGTCACATCTCCAAAGCACCTTGGGCCAAGCGGCAGACAACAGGCCCCAGCGTGCAGCAGTGTCCCAGAGCTGCAGGACTGGAAGAACCAGCAGAGCTCGCATCCAGCCCAACCTCTGCTGGAGGCAGGATCAGCCCCGTCCAAAGCAGCCCAGACAAACCCCGTGTCCAACCTTTGAGCAACACGAGTCACCCCTGACACAGCCCCAGGCATCACACTCAAACCTGCCCCAGGTACAGCAGGGGGGCCGCGGCCACCAACGTCCTGCTGCTGCAAAGGGGGTTCATAGGCGCTCCAAGACCCCAGGCCGAGGCCGTGCCCCGCTGCGGAGGAAGGCAAAACCCCGCAGTGGAGACGAGTCTGAACAGGGGGGGAAATCCCTTCCTGCCTAGTCCAGTGTGGGGCTGAGCCTGAACACAGAGGCAAAACCCTCCAGCCAGCACCCTGCAGGTTGGTGCCAGCAGGAGCATTGGCACAGCCCAGCCCCATCCCCAGCCTGGCCTACAGCAGCACCAGTACCTCTGGGGGATGGTTAAAAACCCCGACACAAACAGAGCATGAGGGGGACACGGTCAGCATGGAGCAGACCTGCCACCAGGCTTGGGCGGATGCTGAGGCGCGCAGTTCTGCGCCCGAGGGCAGGTGCCAAGCACACACCGATTCCTCTCGCACCATGCAGGTTCAGCCTCTCCACCTCCAGGCACAACCTGGCATGACATGGGGGAGAATGACCTTCCAGGTGGGTGCGTGGGGCAGAGCCTGTGGGCAGCAGCAGCTTCCCCTTCTTCCCCTGCCTCGATGCCAGGCTATTAGCATGAGTTATAATTTGCCAAGCCCCCTGTTATCATCCCTGGGAAACAGATTGCTCCAGTTGGGAGCTGATGAACTGGGATTTGGGAGCTTCATCTATTCCTGCTCCTGCAGCCCTCTTTGCAATGCTGGCTGGCACTTACAACGATGCCTACATCGCTTTTCACTGAAGGACTGCGATCCCTCATCCTTGCCATGAACCACCTGTGCGATGTGCACAACCCACATGCATCAAGAGGTAAACAAATAGAGAGTGATGCACCAATGTGAGGCCCAAGCCCCTGCAGCAGGGCTGCCATGGCTGCCTGGGGCCAGGACAGAGGCTGGAGGAAGGGCCCACGGGCCCCGGGGCCACCACTGGGCCTACCAGCTGCCTGAGGCTCTGGGAAGGGGGTCATGCAGCTGGAATGGGACCCACTGGGCCTCAAACCCCGCAGGCCCATGCCAGGCTGGAAGGGGCCCCTGGGACCTGCCTGTGCCTTGGCTCACACCAGGCAGGAATTGGAGCATGGCGAGTGCCTCAGGCTGCCAGGGGACATGGCACTGTCTGCGCCCCCTTTTCTGCCTAGGCCAGACCCCCCCCCAGCACCGCACTCCTCCAAGCTGCTGCTTGGGAGAGCTGCAGCCAACAAATGAAGTCTGCCAACTGGTGATTAAACAGGGTAAGACATAACCCAGGGTGAGGCCTGGGGCTCCCTCTGGAAGAGTACAGACCTCTCTGTCATGTAGGAGCTCCTTGCTGAG